CTTCTGACCTCCAATCTTTTTGACTACACTGTATAAGTCGTATGCCATGTATGTATGATGTATGTGCTGCTGCCTTCTGGAATGCCGGAATAAGTCCATCTGATCTTGACCGCCGTATTATTGTCCCAATTCCTGTATGCATTTCCTATGTCTTAGGCATCGATATTGGTTCTTCTGTCATTAAGTCTCTGTGCCGTTGTTAATATAAGCACGGCATTAATCTAAACACACACACACACACACAGAAGGGGGGCCAGGAGTTTGTGAGAGAGGGGGGGTTTATGATATAGAAAATGCTCCTGACGAACAAAAAGCGACGAGGCTGCGATGTCAGGGGTGCCGTTATTTTATATAAGATCTGCGATTGGGGTCACCCTTGAAACTTGTGGGTCGGCGCCCAGCGAGCGATATCTAAATTTGGAAGGTATCAATGACAGTGACAATGGCGGGCTTTATATCGAACGGCTCTTCTAAAGGTCACAGTATCCGATCAGAGCGGATGACAAGGCTGCGCGATAAGGGGGAGTATCGTGAAAGGATCTACCATCAGTCAAGACCGTGTCCTGCAGCGTTGAAATGAGATCGTATTGAATGACATGGATCGAAAGGAACTCCGTAGATCAGGTATCAATACGGAAAAAATCATCTTGATGCCGACGGCAATTGGAGTTGTCAAATCGAGGCAGACGAAACGAACTTCATGGAGAAAGGTATCAAGTCTCGGAGTCCAAGCAACCGTCGGCGTGAAGAGGCGAGACACAGATCAGTCAATGGATCATGTAACGACCACACCAGTGTTAAATTGTCTCAAGTCCTTGGATTCATGTCCTGTCTGTCTTGTATGATTCTAGCTTCACCGCGGAATCGCTTCGACAACTTCCCGGATCAGGTCTTCCCTTATCAGCAGCGGCACAATATACTCTCTTCACCCAGGCCTCGTCACGGCCAGTCCAACATGACTCCACCGATTAGATCGATCCGGCTTCAATCATCTCGACTGTAACAAAACTCCTGGTCCGTTCTGTTCTGTTCGCATAGCCCGCCTTCATGTCCAGAAAGGTCGCCATGTCTCCCACCCACTTAGATGGCCCCAACAGTCTTCAGCAATCCGTCCAGCTGTCCCTTCTTGGCCTGAAGGTCAGAGTTACCGCCGATATGCTTGTGACCGATGAAGATGTTCGGAACGGTGCGCTGGCCGGTGATTTCTTCTAGGGCATCTTGGATCGCAGGGCCGTCATCTATCCCGAAACGGAAGAAAGAGTTAGTGATCAATCATTACAGGAGACAAATAAAGCGCAGTGAGCGAGTTGGTCGCAATAGGAGACACCCAATACACTCAAACCAAACAAGCTAGAGAACGAAACGGAAACGGAAACAAAGACAACGTGTCCGGGCTGGGCTCAACTTTTTTGAAGACATGTACGTACCGACTTCATCCAACTCCAGCAGATAGTACTTCGCATGTTTCTGATCCAGCAAGCTCTTACTCGCGCGGCAGTACGGACAGTAGGATTTGGAGAAGACCACGACCGGGTTCTGCTCGATGATCTGCTGAGCCTTCTGCTTTGCGGCCGACATTGCTGCGGGGGAACTGCTCGGGCCGGAGGAGAAGAATGAACGGGTGATGTTCCGTAGAGGAGCGAAGATTGAGGAAGCTATGGTGGCGGCGGGTGATTTGGACGGGATTCTGAAGCGAGTTTGATGGATTTGGTGGATTTGAATTGAATCTGTAGAGGGTGAATACGCGGACGAGGGGTGGCTGATGGTATATGTAGAGACTAGAATCGACCTGCTGAACAATCTGGCAAGAGAACTAATATGAAGCAAATGACCAACGATGATGAAAGAGTCCGGCGGAAGGCACAAAAGGTGGCGGCGTGGCGGCAAGATGATGTGATTAGTGGCGGTGCTAGTCACGTCCGGCTAATGTTTACTCATCCCGTTAAACTGGCGACATGTTGAGATGAAGCAGTCAGTCAGTCCTAGCCATCTACCAACAGCAAGCCGACTTAGTCTGCGCACGCTTATCAGTGCCACAATGTCCAAGATTGGTGTTGGAACGATTATTAGAGATCCTGAGACGGAATGATAGGTCTGGAGTTCGGAAGGGTATGTAGAAAGTACAGCCACCAGGCTGATCTGATAATGCCTCTTGGCCATTCCGGCGAGTTTCCTCCTCCTTCAGCGCTTATAGAAGAGCAACGCTCTCAGGTCATGGCGGTTGCCGAGGAAAACAAAAGGATAACAATCAGTAGTGCTCAAGCCTCGCCTTTCGCCCAAACCACTCACTCCCGCTAGAATTGCATCAGAAGAAAGTAAGAAGACTGCAATCCCCATACCCAAACACATGTGAAACAGCAGTTCTTGTCGTCAACAGAGGAAAGACCCGAAGTCACTCTTGGGACTTTACATGACGACGCAACATCCACAGCTCTTGTCTTTGACCTTTTCATCCATTTCATTGGGTTCCATGCGTTGGACTTGCATCCTCGCTGGTTGAGCTGGGGTAGTTGAAATGTTGCCGATCTTAGGGCTCTGGACAATCGCCGGACTCGTCACGCGAGGCATTGTACTGTACCCACCATTCAGACTACCTCCAGTGCCAGGCCTGCCGTTGCTCGAGTTCCTCAGACTTGGAACCGGTCTCAATGGCCACGAGCTCTGATCGTGCTCTTCTTGCCCTTCAGGCGACGGAGACGAAGGTGGGTTAGGAGACGGTGCTTTGACCAACCCGTTGCCCGTGTGAATGGCCAGAGGGGAAAAGTTTCGATCGTAGGTAGTTGGGACAGCTCCTTGCTGTTCCCACTGTGCTTGTTGCTGTCGACGAGCGTGCGTTGGGATGATTTGCTCTTCGGGAGGCAATCTAGGGTCTGGTTTATACATCGTTGCAAGCCAGGGGGGATCGCCTTCTGGCCGGTTGACCGCTGTTCGAGGACGGTCCAATTCTCCGGATCTGGTCCCGGGTCTCTGGCCGATCGAAGGCGAAGTCCCTGCTTTGGTAGTGCCGGATGGTTTCCTGTTCGTATTAGATACTTTCCTTGCAGCTGATGTGCTGGGAGGTGATGATGGAGCAGCTTTTGGTTTCGTCTTGGTAGGAGATGCTGTCTTCGAAGCCGACCTGTGACCGTTTGTTGGGACTGGTGTGGCGGTTTGAGAATCGATATCATCTTGCAAAGGATGACTGCCGTTGCTACCCCTTCGTTTTCGGGATCTTAGGACTGGTATACTATCCTCAGGGCTCATACTGTTGCTAATAGTACGTTTCCTCACTATGGGAGTATCTCGCTCGATCCTTTCTGGTGGTATCGGTAATGGGCTTGAAGTCAAGACAGGGATTTTGGACCCCGACTTCTTCGAAATTGGGTTGGCGGAGAGCTGCTGCGACACAAGGTCAGCCGCGATTTCGTCTGGCGTGCGCAGATCCCAATTTAATCGTTCCTCTTCCTGTTCTTGTTGCTCTTCCTCTTCCGCGGTCTCCTCCACTCGACGTTTATCTTTATCTTCTTCGTTCTTGACCGACAGGTGCCGCTCGTCGCCCTGTCGACCACGACTCGTATCTCTTCCAACATTATCCACATTGCGTCGTGCATTCGCCAGATTGATTCCTGCAGCTTGTAACTCTTCACTCTCAATTTTGGCCAGCTTGTCTCTGTGAATCCAACCTTCAGGATCGTCATCTTGTGGTCGGTACATGTTTTCGGGGACGTCACTATCGTTCGCCTGTTGACTGACATTGCCGCTACTGGGGTTGTTTCTGTACAGATCTAGTAGGCTGTCCGCCTCACTCTCACTGCGGGTCAGATATCCTGGCTGTTGGCCCAACTCTTCAACCCTGTTATGGGCCGGTCGGCCGGGCACATTTCCGTCTTTGCGATTCGGCGGCAGACTAGACAACGGCGAGCGCGCGGATGAGGGAGAGAGTTGTCGTAGGCCGGAGGGACGACTCTTTGGAAAGTTGTTCTAGTGGTGTCCTATGTCAGATCTCTGGTAGTACCCTTATGATTGTGTCACACGGCACGGCCCATCTAGACCGCTCGATGGTGCAGTCAATGGAGGTCTCGACTCACCACATCGTAAGGTGGATTGGCATTATTCACCACCGTCGTCATAGGTGCCATAGAGGAGACCTCTGCCATATTCGAGTTTACCGACGATAGGGAGCGCAGAACGGGCTTCCCCTCAGCTCAGGGTGAACACGCCATGAGCATTGGATAAGATCTGTGGCCATGCAAACTGTCAATGGGCGAAATGGCACCGATAACTATCGTCTGGGCGGTTTTCGGCACTTCAAGTGAAAGATGCAATGGAGATTTGTGGGCCAAAGTCCACCACTATGCGCAAAGAGGTGATTTCCTATCGAGGAGGCTTGCAGATGGGCGGTGGTGAGTACAGCGGAGGCGGCTTTCGTGGATCTGGGATGGACGACGAAACAACAGGTGTGTAGAGCACGTTGGTTGCTAGAATATTATGATACTGAAACAATGCAGGCTCGCAAAACAAGAGGATACTTAGGTAGGATGATAAAGGGCATAACGGCGTAGTAGTAGTTCAAAGTGAGGACCAAATTGCCCTTGCTAGAGGAAGAGCCGGGGGCCGTTTTTCGCTTAAACCAGGAACCAAAGATCCCATGTCAACAATGTTGTTTCAACTGGGCAAGTGAAGCGATCGATAGAGTATGCCGCTTTACTATGTACGTACCTGGTATAGCTACTGCAATGCTACCACACAGCTACCAGGGTGGCCTGAGAGTAACTTTCGTGGCACATTCGTCTTCAACTTCTTTGTTCTATCACTCCAGGCTCATGCGTTGTACACGGCGGATGCTCATAATCAAAACGACCAGGTCTTTAAATGTATGGACACTGTTCAGATTTATGTTCATTTGATTTCATTAAAGGTCACGTCCCAAACGAGACAAATAGAAGTTGTACAACTTATCTGGCCCCTCGGAATGTGGATGCCGAGCAGACAGACCATACTATCTTGTAAAGGGAATACCAATCGTTCTGTTGGCCTGGAATTATGCGTCTGTGAGCCACAGCCGGCCCCAGACTTGTCTGATCTCGGATTCCGTCGCCATATGCTCTCGTGTAAGTGCAAGTCCTCTCCCATTCCAAGCATAATTCCTGCTGATGCCCACGCCGTTTGACATCCATGAGCAAACTGTATCTGAACTGATCAGGACCACAAGAAAAAGAATGAGCGTAGTATAGACTGTCCTGGATATGTACGAGGGGAGGTATGTTCTCAAAGACCGTCCTAGTGCCTGCAAATCAAAATAGATCAAAGATTGTGATCAAACAGCCATTTCCATAACACCAGCAAGGCTAGCCATTCGTAAGTCGTTAGTAACCTCCCACGCTCACCGACGGCCGTCTCATTTTAGGAGGTTCTCGAAACCGTGATGAATGCTCGGTGGCCCGGTACTCGGGACCGTCTCGTGTATATGTGGCGTACTGCGGTTCCCGGCGAGGTGCGATGTGGACCTTGTCCGCCGGATAAGGTCGTGCGTACCTCGACTCCTCAGGCGAGATCTCGGCAAAGAGCTTGTCGCGACCACTGTTGGTGCGCGTGACAGGCGGCGAGTCTCGTGGTGAACGTGGTGACGCTCGATCTTCAAACCGTCCTGATTCAGTCCGCCGTACAGGAGGAGAGGTTTGAACGAAGTCCTCCATCAGTGATGCGCCGCGGGAAGATTTGGACGATCTAGTCTCGACTCTCGGACGTTCAGGCCTTTCTTTGCGACGATCCGAGTCTCTTGGCATCGGCTCGCGGATGACAGATTCTGGGCTATGATGGTACGTCCTTGCATATCGATCACCATAGTCATCATAGAGCTTGTTGACCCGTGGCGTTCGCGTGAAATCGTCCCGATCGTCTGGGTCGACAATCTGATATTTGGTGGACGTCTGTCGAGGTCTGACAGGCCTGGACGGGGGGCTTTCCTCCCTCATCTCCGGAGTATGCGGGCTGGGACTACTCCCATAACCCGAGTCGTGCAACTGAGTTTCGGCGTGTTTTAGGTTAGACCCCTTTGCAGGAGTAGTGTCTTTCTTGGTGGCGAGCTTTGGTACGGGTGCAGTCTGGGAACGAGACAGATTTGGCGGCATCCTCCTCCGATGTTCGCGTTCTCCTCGCTCCCGTTCCCGTTCTCGGTCCCGATCACGCTCTCGTTCCCTATCACGTTCACGTTCTCTTTCCCTTTCCCAATCTCGATCACGCGGGGTACCGGCAGACGATCTGGGCGGAGCGCGCTCTTCTACATGGGCACGTAGATTGCTCGGTGAAGAGCTTGATTTCGTGAAGGATGGCGTGAAGTAATCTTCCACAGTTGCACGGCGTCCCTTTGACGGGGTAGATCGTTTTTCATTGTCACTGCCGCTTCTGCGACCACCGCTTCTCGACTCTCCCACCCAATATTGGTAGGCATCTGAGTCTGCCCGCTCCAAGCCCGGACGATTGGTTGCTTTGGCTTTGGCCATGTACGCCTTGCTCTCTTCATGGTGTCGCTCCCATTTCCCATCCAAGGACTCCTCGTCAACCTCACGCAGCTTGTCCGACCGAAGCGATCTCTTCCGCGCAGTCTCGGAGGCAGGTTCAAAATGTGATGTCGTTTTCGAGCGGGTGGTGGACTTGAGGGAGGGTCTAACTTCAGGAGAGTCCACTTCGGATTCTGAATCTTCCACGTATGCCGTCCTTCTCGTCTGGACTTTCTCGCTTCGTTCTCGCCTCTTTTCCCGGTCTCTGCTCTTTTCCTCCATTTTGCTATTTCTTGTCTTTTCCGCTTGTGCCTTCAACTTGACAGCTGCGGCGGCAGCCATCATGCCTGGCCACACATTGGAGGGTTTTTTGGACTTTTCAGAGGGTTTGGAAGGTGGAGGGGCTCTGTTGTCGTAATCGGGATATTTCCTCGAGGTCGTGCGAGGGAGGGTTTCATCGTAAGGATCTCGGTAGTCATATGCTGAATTGTTCCTAGGCTGGCGGACTTCCTCAAAGAAGTTGCCGTCTTCTCGATACTCGCGAGCAGGAGCAGGAGTAGGAACCGAGGCAGAGGCATGATGCGGTGCCGGCCTCATGGGATAGACTCTGGTGGCGGTCGTCGTGGGCAGTGGCGGTTCTCTCATCATGCTTTCTCTTCGCAGCTCGGCCAACCGGACTCTATCATCATACCGTGATCTCCGAACAGGGTCGGTGAGAAGTTCGTACGCTTGTTGAATCTTCTGAAATTCATCCTTGCCGCGTTCCCGTTGTGCCTCATCCTTGATTCGATCGGGGTGGTGTTTGAGGGCGAGTTTTCGGTGAGCCGTGCGGATGGCAGAGATGTCGGCATCTTTGGAGACTCCCAACGCCACATAGGGATCAGGAGGAAGAGGAGAGGCCATGGTGTGTTAATACAAGGGGAAAAGGATAGAACGGAGGAAATGGCGGAGAAATTTGTTGTTTTGTACAAAGCGGTCAAGGAATGGTCGTGGCGTGCATGATGGTGGCCTCGGAGGTCGGAGTTTTGCTGGTCGAGGTGGTTGGTAACAACAACAATCCCGGAAAGACGATGCACTGTGCCAGTGACTGTTGTTTGAGGGGATTAAGAGTGATCGGGACAATAGATCTCTTGGATTTGGCAGAGGCAGCGTGAAGCCGCTGACGTGTGTAGGAGAAAAGAGTGAAGATGTGTCAGGACGACTTGGTAGTAGTAGTAGTAGGTAGGTTCAGGTAGGTGTGTAAGTATTAGGGGAGAATTTGGTAACCCGTCAGATCAGTACCACAGGTACCTGTACTCAGTAAGGTACTCGGTAGGTAGTAGTCACTCTGTTGTAGGGAAGCGACCAACTGCAGTCCACACAGTGCGGCGCTGCTTCTGTCTGATCTGAGCCACCCGATCGTCTGATGGAATTTCCGATCCCAGCGATTATGTAACTTTCAGATGGCGGCTGGGCTTGCGGCAATTTTCGTTGGCTATGATAGTGATGGTCTGGTCGTACTACTGCTTTTCTTTTTGCTGTGCTGGCACTTCTGGCTCCAAGCCGATACCAGTAGTAGTGATGCTGTTGTAGATAGGTGGTCGAGAGTGAGGAAGGGTCAGCGATGGGGACGGAGATGGGGCCACTCCCCCATAAACCATTATCACTCCATCACGAACGATCCCACCACCGGTTGTTGACATACCACCGTTTGCTCTGGACTACACAGTACCCGACTCTTGTGTGTGCATGGCTTCCACTAAGGAAGGGACTCTACGGCCTACGTCCCTGTATCTGCCTGCCCCCTTTCCAGTGCCTAACTATCCCTGCACCTCCAGTTGTTTGCCCCTTCCAGTGGACGGGTGGGCGAGAGAGACAGAAAAGAACTCAAAACGAAGCCTATGCTGGAAGGGGCGTTTGGACCGTTTGGATTCTGGCGGTGCTGAATCTTACACGCTAGGTGTCGGCAGTGGTAGGCAGCTTGAGATCCTTGGATGGGATGCTATCGTTGCACTCTGCAGTGGTGCCTGTGTTGTCAAGTTGGTGGATGTTGTCGTCATGAGGTGTGGTCGATTAGCGGTAGCGGTAGCGGGAGCGGTGCATGGAGCCGCTTGTACAAACTCGGAGTGGTGGTAGTGGTGGCCACTGGATAGCAGTGACCCTAGAATTCCTGCCAGTCCCCCGGGGCCCATAGGTACCGCACCTACCCTAGAAGTAAGGCGCCCGTAACGCGACAGCCGTTGACCCCCCCCCCAATCCACGTCCGCGGGGGCACCCAAGGCCTAAGGAGCCTATAAAACCAAGTGCTTCAGCCTCCTTAGCCCCTGATTCCGCTCCCGCAGTGCCGTAGCCCTTGGCCACGTTCATTATTGTCCGAGTCCTCGTTCTCGCTTCAGGGCTCTACAACCTAGACACAAGGGACGGCTACCAGGAATGAAAACGTGGCGTGGTTCAACAAACTGTCGCATCACGTCCACATCTTCCACCATCGACGGACCAGCTGCAAAGAAGACAAAAACAAGACCCAAAACAGCTCTTAGTTCTGGGCATCGTTTACACCGAGCACCACTACCCACAAACTGCTCAGCCCGATTTCTGAAATGATTGAGCTTGCATCCGCGCTCATTGGCAACAAATCAAGTCTTACCGATGCGACAAAGATAGAACAACACTGCCGCAAGCAATGGGTTTCCGTTGTTGCACCCAGCTGACTAGAGAATTCCTCGTCTAGACTCCCTGTGCACATGTCCTTCAAGCTCGATGGGAACATGAGCTCACTCAACCTAGATCTACCCACCATACAGATTCTGTCGATGGTTGCTAACCAGGCGTGCGACCAGGCATCCTCACACGGCCAAACATCCAAACAGCGTCTCGAGCTTCCGTTCTGCAGCAGCGTGTCACGCTTCACATTAATCACAACTATCTAGTGGTGTTTCTTGCCAGAATAGCCTCCTCTACGAGGTCATGCAAGACTGAACAAGCACCATCCTCGAAGAAACCAACACCGACACGGGACACCGTGGTTCACCAGTCTGACCCGCCCACGTCGTGCCACCGGACCTCGTCTAGCCTTGAAGGCAAATCCATCCAGTCGTGTGAGCGACATGACACGAGCACAACCCACCTCGATGAAGACAGACATGGCATTATTGGCCTAAGTCTGCCTAAATGCACATCCTGAAAGCTCCAGTTGGCGAGACGCAGTCAAGTAGTTCTGGGCAGAAAATGGAAAGCCAATAAAAACGTACCAGATGGGCTGCCAAAGTGCCAGGCAGGGAACGCGAGCATGATGCTGTGATGGTCACCACTGCATTGATTCTTTGATCTTGCGGAGTTCAGATTTGTTGCAGCTGCTTGATCCCCAGCGCTTAAGACAACTGGTGACCAATGCCATCAGAAGAGCAATACAGTTTTCACACCACTGGCCGTGCCACGGGTGCAATGTCCATGACTTTGTGATTGTTCCACCCACACTTTGGCAGACTCCACAACTTATGCCATCCCGTGGCGGACCGCCCCCAGACCCGAGGAATGGTCAAAGCGACGAGTGTGATCCTAGCTTCTGAGTGGAGGTTGGGGAAACTCCATCTTCCCTTGTCTTCAACAACAAGATGATCAACAACAGGCTGAGATAGAACAGAAACATCAGGCAGTCACTGATCATGATGGAGCTCGAAGCAAGAAAATACTGTTTCATCCCTGCCAACCCCGCAGTCAAGTCGAGCAATCTTGTCAAGCTGACGCTGCCCGATGCCCTTGACGATTTAAGGCATCATGCAAGGTGTACAAAGGACCCCGGACACCCTGGACTGTACACCCAGCATGACCCTCAGGCACCTTCTCGAACATAATTCTGGCCGGCTACTGGGCGCATCCGTGGCCAATCGACGCGATCGGGCTACAAGTCCCTTGCCGCCCACTGTCTGCTTGTCCTCCCAACACCACACATGGTTGTGCTTTCTTTTCTTCTTCTCGATAGGAATTTGCGAGGCACAGGTGTCACCGTTCTTCTTTTCGGGACCCTCCGACTCGACGTGAGTGGACACTTCGCAAGGAAATGATGCAGCCGAAACGATTTGAGACCACTCCTGCATGTTTGACAGAGATCTTCGTTGTCAGTTGGACGACAATGTGCTAGACTATCGCATGGTCCCGCGGGACGAACGTACATTCTTTGAGAAAATCCATTCGCTTCGCATACAAGCCCGCATCAGCCCGAGGAAAAGGGTCCAGGCAACGATGCATACGATGTGTGTCCGCAGATTTGCTGATTGACCTACAACACGAACCTTTTCCCAACCGCCACGCACTTCCCGGCGGCCAAAAGGAACAAGTTTCAGTTCGGTAAGTCATGAAGTTCAATCCTCCGACCGCCTGCCAGAGCCGAAGCTCTATCGATACGGCTTGTTTGGTTTAACCGCCACGTCTGTGGCTGTGCCTGTTCTACAAGTTAAGTTGGCCGATGGCAAAAGCAAACGCCTCCAAAGAACCAACGCCGTGTCATTCCTTTCATGCTACTTACTGTCAGTCGATCGATCCCCATGGATGGACAGCTGTGGCTTAGCTTTGTGTCTGTGTACGTATTTGTGTACCCTGTGTCCCTCGCACCCAGCTCCGTACTCCCTATCGCGAAGAAGGGGCGGAACAGGAAGACGGCGGAATCCTTGCCACCCGTCCCTGTCGATTGGGGCCATACATATACCGACAATCGCCGAGATGAGTGGCCATGGATGGAGGGAAGCCGATGATGCCTGGCTTCGTACACGCTTTGTTTGACTTTTTTTCGTATTACTTCCTTCATTCACAGTGTCACGTCTGCTATGCTCGCGAGTATATTCAATCACAGGTACTAGGAGCATTTGCTTTTGTGGCGAACGGCAGCGGAGGGCAAATCCAGATCCAGGCGGAGGCAAAGTACAGTACATACTCTTGTACCACGCAGGTACAGGTACTCTCACCACTCAACAATAGGGGAGCACAGATCAGGTCGATCGTAGCTACTGCTACTACTGCTACTACTGCTACTACTGCTACTACTGCTACTACTGCTACTACTGCTACTACTGCTACTACTGCT